ACTGCCATAGTTTTTATAGTACAGGTTGTCGATACTATTAATTTGTAGTACAACAAATTTATAGTTCACATTTTTTTTTGTTTAAAGAATTGTATTTGTGACAACCCTACACGAATAATATTTTCGTAAAATATTATAATTTTAATATAAACTTAATTCTGTAACTAAAATTAATAACAATGCTTGACATACTCGTGCTTAAAAACTAAAGAAATCCATAAATAGTTGCCTTTTACAATTGACTAACAGTATACTTTAGTACCTTTATTACAAGCGGTTCGAAGCTCAGTATACATTAAATAAATCTCTAGAAAAGGAGGGAACTCGAGTATAACACGTCTCCAATTGAGAAATTAAAATGTCAATTGTCAATGTCAAATACACGCGCACACCTTAATTACATTCTATAGACGCGCGTAGATTAAAAACGCTAGGTTCCGTATTGCGCTAAAACTTGACAACAGCGTTTAGGCATTTGATATTTTCATAAAATATTCGTACGCTGCCAGTGGCGTATGTTGCAGGCATTTTATATTATTATAGTTTTAATTTATAAAACAAAAACGTTTGTGTTAACTTAATACCAGATGCATTTGCAAAGATGCATTTTCTTTTTATTACATTTTATATTACATATATTGTGACCATCTTTATACAAGCTATAGTTAATAAAGACGCCATATTTGATGTCCTCACGAAACAGAATAATGAATACTGAGCTTCAAAAAACCTATAGAATTAATCTTATAAGTATGATTTGCGACAGTAATTGACAATAGTAACGCTGGCCATAGACGGACCGCATGTTGCAGTCGACTACGACTGCTTGGAGCAGTTGTGTTCGACCGCAAAATAATACTGATGCGAGTTCATTTACAAGATGGATTTCGATGAAGAAACACTGCTACTTATACTATTATTACGCGAGCGTAGGCCTAGAAGACACCGTAGTATGTGGGTGCGTCCAATACTACAATCAAGAGAACAGCATGGAATATTTCATACTTTATATCACCAGCTGAGGGAAGACACTAAAAAGTTTTTCAACTACTTTAGAATGTCCGTGGTTTCATTTGATGAATTATTTAGTATTTTATTTTATTTGAGGGAGTGGCGTGCGGTCGGCAGCAATCGCTTGTAGCGGTCCCGTGTATGGTGGGTCCGGCAGCTCTAAGCAGTCGACCGCACGGCGAAACTCGACCGCAGAGCGACTGCTCCGACCGCTCAGAAACTGGTCGTGCGGTCCGTGTATGGCGGATATGAATTTAGTATGGAAACTGCAGTTCGCCGTGCGGCGACCGCTTAGAGCAGTCGGTGTCGACTGCAACATGCGGTCTGTCTATGGCCAGCGTAAGAAAGATACTTTTCGTTGCAAACGATATGTTAGGTTGATATATGCGGCCTTTACAAAACGTGACCGTGTATGTTACCATAGTAACGGTAACCATGGTAACAAAAACAGTCAAATAGGCCGATGGAGTTAGATACTTCAAGATTGCTGAATTCTAAAAAAGAAGATATATAAAATTAATTATGTGCTAGTTACGTAATATATAAATTGAAGTCATATGATATGTTGTACCTACTTTGAAAAAGATGCATGATATGTTTATGTCGCTTAGTTTAATAATTGTTTATCGTTTTGATAAAAATAACTGTGCGATTTACTTTTTCGTTAATAAACAAAGGCTCTTCTGATCTTAAGTAATAACAGCCCACAAAGTACACGAACGCAGAGTGTGTTGCTGGCTGGTTAAACTCAACTTTTTCTTAATGGATCCTAAATCGAATAGGTCCGGAAATACTTCGATGGGCAGTTCCACAAAGATCAGATATGGAACGATGGACCTAGAGATAATACAACGATTTTCGCATTCTGCCTCTACGTCCGATTACACAGCTGCCAACAATTTATTTAACAGACCCAGGAGCAAGAGAATCCGGTGAGTGACCAACCAAACTCAGATAGTTGACATAGAATATCTCAAAAGTACCCTCGCCCTATCGACCAAGTTATTAAAGTTTCATTACAACAGACAACCCGACCCCAATTAACCGATATTAGGCTGGTATCGTTAATTTTAATGAGGTATTTGAGTTAATCGATACTGTGGGACAATAGAAGAGGCTCAAAAATATTCTAATTAAATTCCAGACTTTTGTCCCTGGGCCACGTGTTGCGGCATGACACTCCTTCAGTTACGTAAGGGTTAAAATCCAGGGTGAACAGCGAGTTGGTAGAAGGAAAAAATCATGGCTTCGTTTGTGGAGAAGTATTGAGACTGGAAAAGAGATGCTGCGTTTTAAGACACGGTTCACGTGACTGACGGCCAAACTCCAGTAATGGAGAGGCACCGAAAGAAGAAGATAATTCCTGAATTAAAGTAGTTTGAGTGGAGAGAAAGCTGGAGACCAACTGTTATGGATATATAGAAAGACGGATCATTTTGGGTGTAGTGTAGTGAGAAGTTGACCAATCACGATTCAACGGAACGCATTCATTTCGTCTTTTGTTTTATATCATCAGCTTTTTCATCAGTGGAAATACTTTTTCTCAGATAGAGACAGCACTTTACTATATGTATAAAAATTTTTGAAATATCATAATAGCACTGATGTACCAACATTGGGATCGCCTGGTTCAAAACCATTGGGAGATACTGAATACGGGTGCAAGTAATGATAATAGATTCTCATGATAGATTTTACGTCAAATAAACAAAAATTTCAGTAGAACGTTCTATTTTTTATAGTTTGTAACTAGAACTTTAAATTTGCAAGAACCTAAGAAGCATCTACAGCATTATGAAGAAAAGTTCGTCAGTAATACGCCAAGTAGATTCCAACTCGGTGTAGGTCAAGCGAATTGGTTTATTCAGGTCATACTAACAATACCGCAAAGTTCAGTATTGACGTGGAAACGACATATTAGTAGAATTTAATTTAAACTTGAATTGGACCTTTCGGAGGGTATTTTTAACTTGAATACTTTTTATGAATGTCGAATAACGTTATAGAAGAGGGCCTCATAGCCTAGCGGTCTTATTAAGTGGCAGCTAGGTGAGGGGTACCGGGTTCGATTCCCGGTTCGAGGGCAAGTTGTAATTTAATTTAAATTTGTTCTCGGCCTTTGGGAGGGTTGTGCGGTACCGGGCGAGTGCTTAAACCGTACATGGATGACACGGTCGAATTTCTAAGGCAAGCACGAATTATAAAAAATCTTATACTTGACACTGGCTAATGCACAAACCGTGCCAGAGCCATAAAAACAAAAACGTGGGGTGTTCTAACTAAACGGAAGGGCGAACGCATATCGTTAGAAATACGTGTAATAATGAGTGAGCCGTCTTATATTACTAAGTAGCTATTGTTTCATTATGACGCGTTTGGAAAGCACAATTTAGCGAACAACTGATAATGACCATAGTGTCAACTGTAGCTTTTAATAAATTTTAAAAATATCTTTCAGAACTTATATCAATGTTCAACAGTTATGTAAAGAGATTTACCAATTCATTTAATAAGTTATTGCAGTACATTAACAGAGTCTAAAAGCAAACGAATCATCCCTGAAGTCCTCCGTTTAAACCTGTTTATATACGAGTATGTACGAGTATCAACATATACGATAAAACCATTGCAAAGAAATAGACATATGTTTATCTAAAGAATCGACGCCGTATATCACTTGCCTTGTCTAATATATAGAAAATGACAAAGAAAACAGATACAAAAATCTAAGGCCAAGACCCAATATATGAGTTAGTAAGCTTTTAATGATAAAATTAATATTTATCTAATAAACCTGTATAGATTTTTTTATGTAATAGGAGGGAAACGGGCAGGAGGCTCTTCTGATGTTTAGTGATACCCATGAACGCTCACATTGCCAGAATGCTCGCAAGTACAGGCGGGTATAAAAGGTAACATTGCCGGTCTTTTGAGAATTGGTACGCTCTTTTCTAAAGAAGAAATCGATAGAAAATTTCTATAAAGGTATTAAAAAAGCAAAGCTTATTAAGCGCTATTGGAAGAATGTTAAAACTTTTATAAGCCCGATACTGGGGCGATATTGTTCATAAAATACTAAAAATATTTATTTGCTTATTATTAATTTTTTTTGATATTGCAAAACTAAATAAGCTTCGATGAATTATGAATATTCAATGTATGAATCACTAAGCAGATATTTCTGGCACAATTTTGTTCGAAGAAAGTCTTTGTGATTCTTTCCAAATGAAATTAAACACACACATCGACGAAAGGAGATTGAAAGTTTTTGTTCCATTTTTGAAAATGAACATATTTCAAACCTGAAGTTTAGATGTTTAGTAAAACCTCTTTGATGATATATTTGTTTTAGTATAAGTTACTGTGAATGACAATCCTGACGTGTTTTATTCTTAGAAAATTAATCATTTCATTTTAATATATTCATGATATCAGTTCCTAGTATATTTCATACCAATATTCCTTTTACGATAAATTTTAACTAATAAATTCTATGAAATAGTGAAGTCAATGAATATATCGTACAATATTTACAACGTAGACGAGATTCAGTCAGATATAAAATTGACTAATTATTAGAATTTAATTCTCTAATCAGAAAAGCACTCAAACATCTTATTTATAAACACATTTAAATAAAAACGTATTTTAAATGTCCCTTGATTTTTATGGCATTATTAAAATGGAAGGGACAGAACAAGAATGTTTACAAATAAGACCGCAATTGAAGCATTAAATTTAGATTAACATGAAAAAATAGATTAGATTACACATTTTCATACCAACAATAAAACATTAATAAACTATAGAAATTAAAACTAATGTACAAACATCTTAAAAAAAACCCACATTAACAACTATTATAGTTAGGAAATCGCAACCACTTATCACTTCACTAACGTGTATTTGTCACTATCAAAGTTCACTATGTTTCGCTAATCACTAGTTTTGTCACTTTTTACTTCAAAGTCTATATACCTGATTACCGGTTATACGTGTGTTGCAAGGGCAGTTTGAATTGTGCAACCTGTAAAAATATTATTCGATGAGTACAGCAGCAATTTGTGAATAGAAATAATATCTTCATACATATTTGGATAATAATAGACCTAAACAAATGTTTATTAAACAAATAAATAAAATGTATTTATTCATTTTAAGTCCATACGCATTACAATGTGTAAGATTTGGGAACCCTTTTAAGTAAAAAATACTTGTGTCAGGGTTCCCAGCTCTTCCATAACAAACTTAATTATAAATTCCTTAAAATATATTTATATATAATTTAATTACATCTTTTATTTTATGTTATTTTATTTACTATGGTGTTTGATTTTTCAACTGAATGCATGAGTGAGAGTGTGAGTGAGTGAGTCAGTGAGTGAATGAATAAAGTGTGTAACTATATACTAGGTCTCTAACACTGCGTAAGGTGTTAAGCCAGTCCTTTAGTCGTATTTTTAGATTGTATTAACGATATTAAGAAAAATACTAAGATTATGAGGTTCCAAAAACTAACACAGACACAACGCACGATTATATAATACCTCTCAGCTACAGTCTCAAATACATGTGCATACACACCCATTCACTCAAACTTAATGTCTTATAAGATCATCTCATCTAGTTACCCACAACACTCCCTGTGACTAGCGATATATGAATTTTGTCACAACCCTTTTGTCATAAATAAAGTTTTTTGTATTATTATTATTCAAAGTCCGACGGCTTCAGTTTTTTATCGTAAATACAGAGTAACTTGAAACATCCCAGCCAAATTCACTTGTGTGACGTGACGCCATACATTTTAAACAGAAAAAATTATGTCATTTTTATTAATATGTTTATTAAAATAATATTTAATCATTAATGTTAGCCTAAGTCTTTATAAATGTACATGATTTCTAACTAATTGGTTTTTATGTAAGGTACAAGTTTATCTCGAGGGGTAGCAGATCTTACCTTTTTTAGTAACGGTAGAATTACTCAATGTCCTATTTGACGGTGCTAATATGTAGTGGGAACTGGGCGATTGAGGTGTGGTTGAAGATGTGGCCACGCCCAGCTAAAATAAAAGGAATTTACTTGAGTTTCACTTTGTACATTTTCTCAAACAGATGTAATAGTGGTAGCTGATATATAAAAGCTGTTTAAATATTTTAAAATCAACCAAGGTATGTCTTGAATTAAATTATTTTATCAAACGATTATTACAAATTATATTTAAAAATATGTTTTTTAAATACGATATTTATAAGACCAGAATCGCTTAGCAATCAATTTTATAGGTTTGTAAAAAAAAAACAATTTCAAGTATTTAATTATATAAGTAACACATTTTATAGTTATATTTATACTTACGGGTGGTTGCGCACTGTCAGTGGACATAGTGGAGTTAGTAATAGGACTCGTTGCGCATTGCGGGGACGCGAGACTTGTAGGAGACGTGATGGAGTGGGATGAGGTACCTATAAAGAAATGTTTAGTCTACATCGGAATTGAAATTATGAGCTTGTTTAACCCTAGAAAGATAACCATATTTTGCTATACACTAAAGATAACCATACGTCATTTTGACGTATAAATGTTTGAGTGCTGGAATTTGTATATCATATGCTTATAGTACGGGAGGTAGCAACGTTTGAAAAGAAAGAATTTTAGGTCAGCTGATTTTGTGATATGTCTTCCTTCTTGCACTTTCGGTTAGAGTCTTGGCTATCTGGCTGGCGGTAGCGGTTGCATTCTTTAGTGCAACTAAAACTAAGGAGAAGTTTATTAAAATGTCATGAAAAAACGAAATCAATGAGCCACCGCCCATGAACAGTGAACACCCACAGCATCCAAAGATACTATCTCTAACCTTCTACTTTGTAATAAAAATTTAAGATATATGGGACGTCTAATTTCGTGTAGTTCTGAGTATATTTTTGAAGTGAAACTTCTTTAGGCGCAAGAGGGTAAGATTTTTACGGATGAAACGCAATAATAATAATATTAGCGTCACGAAGATGTGCAGCGTTTTTGTCGAAGAAAAGGGAGAGAGCTATTGAGAGAGAGAGAGAGAGAGAAAAAGAAGGGCGAATTACCTTATAGAAATTCTATTTTTAAAATTAAAATTTCCTAAAGAGAATTTATGAAAAATGTATTAGTATTTTATATTTTATGCAAAATAATTTATTGAAATCTCAAATGACTTATTGTAATTTAAAAGGCCACTTTTCTTTATTATCGAAGAAATAAATTAAAAAAAATATATAATTTGTATTAATTTTCGAAACTTTTAATATTTTAATAACAATTAAATTCATTAAATTCTTCCTTTTTCCCTCTCGGAAATCTAAAATTTTAGATTTGTATAAATATGAACAAGACTTAAAAATTAGTTTGCCAAAAAAGTTTCACTTCTGACATGTGGACTTTGTACGCACGCACTTTTTTTTATATCTCACCTGACGGTAGTATAACTGAGGTTCTAACAGATGAGTAAGGCGGTGGAGCTGGTGTGGAAGCTGGCTTTGCTGTATTGACTGTAAACCCGAGACCACTTCGAAGGTGCGGGTTTCCGTATGTCGCTGCATATCGGACGTCCACGCCATGGATTATACCTCCATTGGGAATACGATTCACTGCAAAGATTTATAATTTGTTTATAAAAAGACGTAACGAGGGCTGAGAATGACCAATGATATAAAAGGCACACTAACAATATTTGAATAATACTCTTTATTTAGTTAGTCTATAAACAGTCAAGTTATCTACACCTAATTAATAAAACGGACAGACACACTGTTACGTCTACTTTTCCTATTGCATGAACCTTGAAGTAAAATATATTTTTAACATTTTGGTCACTAAAATCGTTAAGAAAAAAGGTCCCTTGCTATCTTTTAAGGTAAGATTTGATACTTAGTGAACCACGACTCCCGTTTATAAAAATCCAATTAGGTTCTAAGGGATTCAAATTAGTGAATAATTGTAGACCCCGATGTCCACGATTTCACACACATGAATTATACGTATATATGAAGAATAATAATCTCGCGTCAGGCATACTTTCGGCGCGTTTTGTAAGCCACTGCACTGCATGTAGATGAACATTAGATGACAATTTTATAGCTAGAACATAAACTGATACTAAGATTTAAATTTTGAATGTCGAACAAAAAGATTCTAAATTTAAACCTCACTTACCTTCAGTACTGGGCACTCCTAAATTATTCAGAGCATTGGAACTGTCTTGGCGTTTGGCCGAACGTTGTAAGGAATTGTTCTGAGAGCCATTTCCACTGAATTGCACTGACGGCGTGTCTATACTTCTCGGTAGGCTACCGTTTATTGATCTGAAATTGTTGTATTTTAATATCGGATTCTTCAGATAACAGGCATTTCAAAGTATGAGGTACAAACACTATTAATTAATACTATGATAGTTAGAAACATAATTTAACGATTTTAGATATAACACTGCTAAAAATAATATGGAATTACAGGTACACTGCCACAGGGACCAAACTTTTTAAATTTGTTTTAATTTTCTTTTAATAATTTTTATTATTACTTTGTTGGTTAAGAAAATTGTAAATACAAATAGAATGACTACATTTAATTTTAAAGCAAGACGAAGAGCTGTCGCAATTAATAAAAATATTTAAAAATTCTTGGGCAATTGTTTTCATCGATTTATAACATACATACAAAATATAATTTCTTTTAATTTATTTAACGTAACGTTAATTACTAACCATTACAATCAAATACACAGTATTTACAATTTTCTTAACCTATGTGCCCTTATTATTACAAATAGAAATAATTAAAAATTAATAAAAAGAAAAATAATTAATTATTTTAATTTTACATATTACTTGTATCACCTTAGGCTGAGTTTTGGAGTACAAAATGTGAAGTATATTTTTTAATCTAAAAGCTCTCAAATGTCCCATTGGCAAGGCCTCGTTTTTAGACGAAAATTTTACACTATTGGCAAGTCTAACGATGTTCTAAATTCAAGGAGCTTTCAAAGACTTACCTATTCGGTGTGAGCTTATCAGCGGCCATCGTGGGTGACTGCACCCTCAAAGAACCGGGCGTGTAATCATGACCGTAATGGACGTACGTGGAATAACCATTCACCTGTTGTAAATGTTGCTTTAATGGCATACTTAAGTATGAATATATGGAGTAAGAGCATTAGTAATTTAAATATTGCTATCTCTTCTCTCAAACCAAAATACGTTTATTCAGTTTAGATGCGTCTTAGGGCATGCTTATGAATGTCAAAAACGTTTACAAAATTCGCGAAAGAGCAAGACTACGCCATCCGTTCGCAAAACTACGCAAGAAACTCAGCAAGTTTTACCCTCTTATACAATATACCCTACCTTATACCCTAAATATACAAAGACAGTATGTTACGTATAAGTCTTAATTAATAAGTCTTTCCACAAATATATATATAGAAATTTCTTATGCAATTCAATGGTTTCATCACTACATTTGAGACCGAGTTTTATTAATTTCCAAAGAAAATGATGGATATAATTGCATTATATTTATGGTAACGGCTTAAATATCTACTATCTGTATTATTCCTCCCAAGAAAAAAGTTTAAAATTCACAGATCAAAATCATCATAAGTTATATGAAATGTCATGTCGAAATAATGACATGTTTATGTAAAGTTATGTCAGAAATAATTTAATTATTTACCTTATAATCTGAATAGGCAGGGTCACTGTAGTCATTGCTATATCTATATGGGAATGTATTGGCCTGGTTCACTGATAATGGTACAGTACCAGCCAAAGGTATGCCACTACCAAGCTTCGCATTAGAGCAAAGTGTACTGTCGGATCCCGTATTTGAATAGTCCTAAAAGGAAAAGTTATTAACTTTTGCTTAGAATCTGGAGTATTGAAGATATAAAGAAACAAATGGTTGTTTTGTTTGAGGTCCCGTAAAGTCTTGGGGCAGAAATATGTTTATTTTTAGTTCTTTTTTTAAATCAGATTGCAGATTGGAGATCAGTCCTCTTTGCCGCGTTAAGCAAGTGTTTAAAGAAGTCACAAAAGAGCGCTTTTAACCTGCTCTTGTCAGTTAAGATTTCCGGTTAGATATTTATTTGTATTTTTTATATAAGCATTTTTAGGACCAGTTATTTGCAAACAATTTAAATACACTCTTAAAAGTTAACCGTCTTTAATGACTTTACGTACTGTGTTAATACATTATTAAGTTAAAGTGTTTCAAATAACGTATCACGTTTAGAAATATCGTGATTCACCTTTATTAAAACTAGTAAAAATATTCTTTGATTCTCATGATTATAGATTTTTATATTAACAATTAAGTTTTATACAAGTAAGATTTTATTAATATAGTCAATTCTTCTAGTAAAAGTTTATCAAAGGCATTTTCGTTGAGAGTAATATCCTAATGCTACAAATATCTACTCACAATTTCACAGTTTCCATTTGCTTGTCGCAACTCCAACTTCAAGTCACTAATATTAGAATTCCTATCATTCTCCTTATACAATTCTTCGGCAGTAACTGTCACATCTGGCTTTTCCGTCACCTGTGCTTGCTTGTTTTTCCGCTGTTTCCGTTGACACAATATCACCAGCATTATGACTGCTGCCACCATGATGGTCCCAGATGTTATGCCAAATAGGATTAGTAGAAGGGGAAATGATTCTAAAATATATAATTGTGGTTTTTAGTTTAGTCTCTTTTAACTCTGTATTTTTTTATTAATATAGCAATGGTTAACATTCGCTCGAACGATGAAGGAAAACTTCGCGAGGAAACCGACATGTCTTGGACTTAAAAAGTCGATGGCGTGCGTCAGGCACAGGAGACTGATCACCTAGTTCTCCATTAGATTGAGAAATGATCAAGAAACAGATACAGAAATCTGAGGCCCATACCTAAAAAAGTTGTAGCGCCACTAATTTACCGATACTCATCATATGTTTTAAGCACTTGATACCCGCAACAAAAACTATGTTAAATATCGTAAAATGATATAAATATCTTGTATACATGTATATATATACATAGTATACAGTATAGTTACAAAACCATCGAATTAATAAATGTTACGAAACACAGACAAAAATATTTACACAATTCTGATGGACCAAATTACTCGTTGTCCTTTCCTAAGTAAACAATAACCCTACACACTTTATAAACAAATAACTTCCTGGTAAAGAGGTGATAAAATATTTCAACTGCAAAATAAATTAAGGTCTCGGAGCTTACTAATATTGTAATAATAATAATAATAATTTATTTGCAAGAATATGGTACAAAAATGTTATATCAATCATTATAGTTAATTTTTATATTATTTATAGTGATACAATATCACATTATTAAAAAATATTATTATGTTATCAAATTAATATTAATTATTATTTCTCGCAAACAATCAATAATAGAATAATACAGTTTTTCCAAAAGTAGTACATTACGTCGATCATTTTGGTAAATTATTGTCATACAAAAAGTGTTTTTCTTATACCAGATTAATTTATGTATGAAAAATTAAAAAAAAATACATACTTGTAGGCCGCAATACTATGTCAATCATATCACTCCCGTAGTCATTGGACACATTACATCTGTAGACTCCAAAGTGCTTGGACTGACTCTCTCGGATGATAAGTGTCGAATTTACAATACCGCCAACTTGGATATCCTCTTGAAAGGCATAGTCCTAGAATAGCAAATAAAATTACACAAATGCATGAGTTTTTAAATCCTGTCTTAATACGGCCAGCGGTGAAAGTTTATTAAAAAAATAGGTAATCATAGGTATATTTTTAATTCTTTTAGTGACTTCTTTAAGTCTCCTTCCTTCTCCTAGCAATCAAATTAGAGCAATCGAAACCCACACTGTCAAATTAATATAACCATGTCAAGGTAATTGACATTAGGCATTACATATACTTAAAAGAAGTGTGTGCGTACAAAGTACACATGTCAGAAGTGAAACGTCTTTGGCAAACAAATTTTTAAGTCTTAAGTGCCCTGTAAACGATCAAATTGTTTGTCAAATTATTTTATGGGCACTTTATTCATATTTATACAAAACTAAAACTTTAGTTTTCCGACACTTAGAGGGAGAGAAAAAGGAAGATATGTTAGGAATTTAATTGTCATTAAAAATATTAAAAGTGTCAAAAATTAAGACGAATTAATGATACGAAGAAATTATTTTTTTAATTTATTTCTTCGATAATAAAAACACGTGGCATTTTAATGTCATTTGAGATTTCAATAAATTATTTTGCAGAAAAAATATAAAATACTAATATTTAAATCCTCTTTACGAAATTTAAATTTTAAAAATAGAATTTCTTTAAGGTAACTCGCCCTTCTCACTCTCTTTTAATCGGTCTCAATCGCTCTCTCCCTTTTCTTCGACAATAACGCTTCCTTCTTCGTGACGTTAATATTATGAATATTGCATTACACCCGTAAAAATTTTTACCTCATGCGCCTAAGAAGTATTTATTACACCGGTTTTTTACCTCATGTCGGTTAATAACCTAACTCTAAGTATTTATTACACCGGTAATTTCATTATCAGCAATAGTCGGGAATTAATAACATAACTCTAAGCGTAAATTTATTGTAATAAGATAAAGCATATTTTGATGTAAAATTTCTAAAGAGTAATATTCTGTTGCCTTTAGCTTCCGGTTTAATTTACATTAAAGTGTTTCCGAGATGCGTAACCTTTCCTAGAACTTCTCATCAAGTACTATTAAAGTTAAAGGAGCTTTTGAGCTCGTGCTGACTCATTTTCAAAACGTTTTTATTTTTATAATAAATCACACTAAATGAGATATGGAATACAAAGAAAACAAGTTTCAATCAAGCAGGCATTCGTGCGTTTGCGTTATGGTCAACCATAATTGAAAATAGCCACCGCGGTAGTGTCCTTGAGAAATTTATTTCAAATCTCACCTGATCATGTACACCATCTATCTCCTTTCCCTCGAATGTCCACACGATATTATCGATTTTCGGAACTGCGAACGCGGCGCACTCAATATTCACTGTGTCACCTTGCGACCCGAATTGCGTGTGATTTGATATTATCTTCGGTGGACCTGGGAACAATGGCATTCTTATAAAAATATATACCACACAATTATGTTCATATGAAATATTTTAGTGTAACCAATTTAAAAAAAAATGTTTTTGTTTTAATGATCGTATTTGTTGGTCGTTTTGAGAGAAATCTACTCTCGGTATTTATTAGTTATCGAGCGACCAAATAAAATGAAGGACGAATTTAATAGAGGCCTATTTTTTATTTAGAGCAGTGTTGGCCTAGTGGCTTCAGCGTGCGTCTCTCATCCCTGAAGTCGTAGGTTCGATCCCCGGCTGTGCGCCAATGGACTTTCTTTCTATGTGCGCATTTAACATTTGCTCGAAAGGTAAAGGAAAACATCGTGAGGAAACCGACATGTCTTAGACCCAAAAAGTCAGCGGCGTGTGTCAGGCACTGGAGGCTGATCACCTACTTGCCTATTTGATTTAAAAATGATCATGAAACAGATTCAGAAATCTGAGGCCAAGACCTAAAGAGGTTGTAGCGCTACTGATTTATTTTATTTTTTATTAATTTCCCACACTAAAATACTGATATAATGCAATTTTTCTCTAAACTCAGGTAATTAGACCTGTTATAAGTAATGTTGAAGTAGTGCTTACTAAACATTATGATTATTTTGAATGGGTCCAATTGAGTTGGCAGTTGATGGGAAACGCTAACTAAAAACCATGTTCCGAATAACCTATCAATTACTGGGAGGCCTTTATTTTCATCAATTTAATGCCATTATAGCACTCTTAACGGGATAAATTAATTTAACATATTTCTTAAGGTTTTACGATAATTTTATTCATATCGGCACCTGACCAACTATCGTTTCTAATCTTGATTAATTTTGACGCTTACTGCGTTTTAAAACTTTAATCCATTTAACTACATAGGGTCTGTGGATTTATTTTTTGATTTATAGTGAGAATTGTTAATTGTAGGTGTATTATGAGAATAAACTCGGATTAAGAGTTGTTTTTATATAATGGTACCACTATTTTGCTCTGCTTCGTACATAAAAGTGACCGTTACATATAAATTCTTACCCTTTATGTTTCCCTATATTGTGTACTGTCGAAACATTGTGATTTGTAAAGCGCATTGTGTGGAGTTTGTCATTCAACAGTTAGTTTGAGATATAATATACTAGCAGACTCGGCCAAGCGTTGCTGTGGCTAAGATTTTTGCTATATTAAAGTAAACTATTCAAGGGAAACGGTAGGAGAACACCAGTCATGAGGACCACCATGCTTTTTTGGTGGTTATACCATTAAATTGTAGCTAATGTGAAATGTTGGTACTTTCAACACAGCGCAATCTGTTAGCATTGTGACTATCAAATAATAAACAAATATTTCAATAAAATAATATTGCGGGTATAAATTGAGATGTAAGCTATCCTATCTTTTAAGTTGGAACAAACTAGACACGGTGTGCAAATTTGATTGATAACGGTTCGGTAGTTTAGGAGTCCATAGCGGACAAACAACGTGACACGTAATTTATATATATTAAGACGTGGCGAACAGTTACATTACAATACAAAAAGAAACATTACATATAGCGCTGTAAATAAATATTTATGACGATAGGGATGAGGCAAAATTTTAGAGGTTAAAATTGTGGATAATTTGTGTTTGATTGTAGTGTAGGTACATCATATAAAGCCAAGATACAAAGAGAAAAGATGGCTTTAAAGAAGTATACAACGAAATCACCAACGAGTATAAGAGGAACCAGATTCTCGTAGATTCCTGATTGTTGTACAAAATCCAAGAATGTTCGTGCATCAAGGGAACAACGTAGGAATGCTATCAATTTAACAGGGTGGCCACACTGAAACTGTTTCTGTCAGCGATTTACGGCAAAAATCGGCAATTAAACATTGTCGTTATACATTTTTCTCTAATTAGTGAGCAGTGTTTGCCTAATGGCTTCAGAGGTCGTAGGTTCGATCCCCGGCTGTGCACCAATGGACTTTCTTTCTACTTTATTTAATATTTGATCAAACGGTGAAGAAAAACATCGTGAGGAAACCGACATTCTTAGACCCAAAAAGTTGACGGCGTGTGTCAGGCACAGGAGCCTGATCACCTAGTTGCCTATTAGATTTAAAAATGATCATGAAACAGAATCAGAAATCTGAGGCCAAAACCTAAACAGGTTGTAGCGCCACTGATTTATTTATTTTTTATCTAATTAGTATACTTAAATATAATTTAAATTAACTTGAAAGTCAATTGCGGTATATTGAAACATTGTCTTAGTTTATGGTTGGTAGTAAGTAAGTATAACATTATAAGCCTATATTAAAGCATTAATTACGAGTAGTGACCGCAAGTTTATGAAGTTCAGTTGATTTCAATAAATTAAAAAATTCAGTCAGAAATATATATAATAGAAAATATTTTTTTGTTCTGATGAAGTGTTACAGCTACGGAGCAGTAACACAAGTAATAAAAGCCTTTCGACCCTGAGGTCGAGCGTTCGGACCCCGGTGTATTGTTTCATTTCTCTTTTAATGTGCAATTAACACTTGGATGTACGTTGAAGAAACGTAATGAAAAGTGTCCTTGATCTAAAAATCGATGGCATAGAAGCCACTTAATAAAAGTGAAACAGACACAGGATTGTGTCAACCCTACGTTCCATAGATCAGTAGAACACACGTTGACATTTAATTAGTATTATGTTGCCGAAGAGTTTTCTCAAAATTATATCTAAAACTCTAACATTTTGCAAAATATAAAGGATTCTAACCTTTAAGATTAAAGCAGGTATTACAAAAGATTTACGCAAAATTCCTAAAAGAAGACTCAGCACTTTTAGACTAAAAATTCATACGATCACTCTTTTATTTAAGCCGAGCGAGCTTTTTAAGTTATTCGAGAAAAGTGTTTACGCAGTCCACGCTTTTACCGTATAAAATGAGACCCAAATTTATACCTGCTTTATCACAATTATAACATTTATATCTGTAATATATCTGCAACTAATAGGACTACTTTACTTTTTAAGATTGTATTACGAATTAAGATTTTCCAAGGCGTCTTATAATAATAGCCTACAAGGCGTACAACCTAAACGCTCGATTTCCTACGAATCAGCACTCGCCTGGGTTGTCACCATTCTACCAGAAACATGCCTTTAATAAATGGTGGTAATATTGTAATAGTGATAACCACTTCTTATATTTATGTTTGAGCAATCATAGTCCAAGAGTAACTTGTGTTGGCCTAGTAACTTCATCACCCATCAGATTAGATTGACAAATTATCATGAAAGAGATACAGAAATCTGAGGCCCTGACCTAAAAAGGTTGTAGCGCGACTGATTTATTTATTTTATTTTAATCATAGTCAAAAGAAACATCGTCATTCGTGTTACATTCTCACCTCATGGACTTAGTTCTTAAATAGTCTGTGAAGTTCGTTTATAAGCGACCATCTACGTGATTTTATATTGAATTAAAGCGAATATTCATAATAATTTTCCTAAAAATACGAGTCATTTTAATAGCCGACTGGGCCATGAAAATGACAATAACTTTACTTCAACGGCCCATTCGAATCACTATTCTAATAGCTTCAGGTCACCTAAGGTGCGGCGCTAATGGTTAAGTACTTACTGATAAAATAAAGCAGAGTATTTTTGTAGAATTCTAGCTGCGTAAAAAAATATATTTAATAGGAATACATACTTAGTAGCGCTACTAAAAGCATTGGTTTCATATTTCTCAGTTCTTTTCATAGATAGTAATTCTTTTGTTTCAAATTTCAATTGCGACAGCCGAGGTAAATTTTCGGGCTTTAGTATTTTAATTTACTTTAAGATTTTTTTATCTCTATCCGAGTTCCGATGAATCGAAATGATTACTATATAGTTATCATTTCGATTAAACATTAGCACACACACATAAACTAGACGTTTGTTAACTTTTTTATATATAGTTATTTTTTTATAAATTATTTATTGTTCGTTTTTAAAATTTGTATTAGCAATACTTTTTACCACTATGTCCAAGAGGGACTGGTGACTTGTAATAACAGGTTACAACCTTTTTCAAGCAACAGTTTCTCACAATAATAGATAGCATTAAGTTTATTGTCAAAATAGAAAGATGATGAAATACCTGTATCACAAACTCGTACTCGATTAGATCAAATTAATTATAAATTTTATAACCGACTTTGTATACATAAATTGTAACAATACTATGATATATATTAAACATAAACAATATAGTTTCAAATGTATGAATATCAATCAATACATGTGTGTAAAGCATAGCTATTGTTCTTTGGCAGGGTTTAATTTGTATGTCAATATTGATTAAAGCTTATATCCTATTATTCTCCTCTTTATATAAATGATCCTGATAGAAATAAATACATTCATCGGGTCAGCAGTTTTAAGTTTATCCAATGTAAATATGATGAATGCGTTAACTTTCATCATCGGACGTCAATACAGAATACAAAATATCATCCGTATCACGTAGACGACCATCGTTCCACAACTAAGCGTTTCTATGTCTCTATCTACCAGTATGTGGAACCAGCTGCCCACTGAAGTATTTCCGAACCAATTCAAGTTATTGGCCTTCGAGAAAAGAGTGTATAAAGATAACCTAGCTAACAACGATATTAGTAGATAGACATACATAAACAAAAGTAGAAAATTATATTTGTACATTCGTACAAAGTCTATACAAATATATTTTTTAATATAATAATGAATATTGACGACTCATTGGTCTTGTGGTTAGTACCCCTGACTGCGAATCCATGGGTCCCGGGTTCGATCCCCGGCTGAGACGGACATCGATGTGATGAGCATTTGGTGTTGTGCTTAGGTCTTGGGTGTTTAAATATGTATTTATATGTCTCTCTATCTATAATATGTATGTATATCCGTTGCCTAGTACCCATAACACAAGCTTCACCAGCTTAGCATGGGACTAGGTCAATTGGTGTGAATTGTTAAAAAAAAATATATATATATATATATTTAATATAATACATTATGTTGTTCACAGGATAAATTAACAGGATAATTTTTGTAAAAGAAGGCACCAGATAGGTAATATGAAATCGGAGCCAAGTCAATATCACTAAAACATTTATAATTTTTAACATAAATATAACTTGCTAAAATTAAATTAACATACATGTGATTGCTTAATCTAATTCGATTCTTCTCTAAACCATTTTTATATTTCAATGTTATGTTATCGATTTCAAATAAAAGTTTACATACCTTTTATAAATATGGAGGCTTCTGCCTCTATCTCCTTGTACCCCTCCACTGAGGCTATACACATATAACGCCCTGATGTGTGCGTGTCGGCTGTTAGTGTGAGGTTGGCTGTTTTACCCACATTCTGTAAAACAATAATTACAGGCACGTATTAGACTCGGCACATAACACAATGCTCTCGCAGGTATTAGAAAACTTACGATATTAGTGTCTTCCTCCAAATGTAGCCACTTAAACTCTGGCTCCGGGAACCCATCCACATCGCAACTGAGCGTCACTTGCTTACCCAACTCCGCTTCCACATCCATTGGGCGGTTACGAAACGTTGGAGCGTCTGTATAATATTGTATAATTATTATTAAAATTGAATACATATTTATAAACATAATAAAAAGTCTTGGGAATTTTTCCGAAATTGAAGTTACATTACACCAAAATACTCCAAAAAATACAAATGCAGAAATACGCATCATGAATAAGGTCACAAAAAATCAGACACAGGGAAAACTTACAGGAAATTTCAAGAATTATTGTTTCTTCACTTCTTCCAACTTCATTGACCACTTTACACCTTATTCTTGCGCCATTGTAACTTCTGGTGATATTCGGTATTATCTAAAAAAAATATGAACTATACACAAGAGTTGTCTATATAAAATAATAACGTTGGCCTAGTGGCTTAAGCGTGCCACTCTCTGAGATAGTCAATGACCCAAAAATCAACGTGATATGTCAGGAACACCTTCCATTAAAAATGAAATGATCAAAGAAACGTATGCAATTCAAGCCAAGCCCCATATAAGGTTATAGGATTTCGTATTATGCACAATATAAAAAACGTAACACATAAACATATTCAGGTAAGCCCTAAGGCTAGGCGAAGGCAAAATTTTCCGTATGAAATCACATAGCAATTAAGGAAGCAATTAACAATTTCAATTTTGAAAACTATAAAACTAGTTATTATTAATGTTACTTTCCATTCTACTGGGTAAGAGCAATCATTGATTTTACAATGAACAATTATTCTCTGTAATTGATGCTTATGTTAAGCTAGTTGTTAAGTAATATTAGTAAAATAATTAAAATTACAATATTTTAAATTTGAGAATCAACAGACTTGGAATCTAAATTTAAATTAAGAATATATAGAATTCTCTGCCTACGTCATTGGCATCAAAAATTGTATATTTATTTTATTTATTTATTTTACAATTTTAGAGAAACTTACAGCTAAAAAATGTTCGATAATATACAATTAATACGATGAAGGCCAATTATCAGTTTCCACACTTGGGCACTATCACATCCTTACACACCAATGCTCAAAAAACTCTCAAGGCAGCTATATTAAAATCTTAATAACTCAAAGTATCAAAGTTGTTATTTGTTGGCTATGCTCAGAATATATAGCCACCGCAACTTTAAAACAAGAATACTTTATGTTAACTGTTTTATAAGTGTGAAATTAAAGTCAAAGACGACACTAGCGGCCTTATTCTTATCTGTAAAAAATCCCCTTCTAGCTAGGGATAAAGTCTTATGACAGTAACGTCTTTATTTAAAAAATATTTTTCTCCAGTTACCGTAATCTCGTGGGACAAAGATATTGAGCAAAATGTCGATCAACCTTATAATATTTTATCTATTCCGTGGACAAGACAACAATTGAAAGTTACGCGCCAAATTTATCATCTGTCACATAACTTGACGTTGACATGAATCGACTTTGACAATTGTAAATTGAAAACTTCTTTGATAACTTAATCTATTAATATTCAGAAGCAATTAAAAACTTCAATAGATACTCACCAGCTCGGAACTGTTTCCAATTATGGAATCGTTTAAAATCCATCTGAATGTCAAATTACTTGGGTTCGCGTCCGCTATGCACGCTGAAAAAATATGTTTGTGTCATTGATTGGAACTTTAACTGTTAAAAATGTAAACGAATTCAGTATAAAGTCGAAACCCGTAACGCTCGGATTTTAGACAGGTAATCGAAATGAGAGCAATATTTAAATAGTTTAACATATTTTTGTAGGTGCCACAAATTGATGTTTATTTTTAAATTCTTTCTAAGCCAGGCGTGTATTATAAAAACAACGCAACGTATAGTAGGGTCACAACTATCACAGATATAATAAAAACTTTTTATTACAAATCAACTAAACATAACAATCATACTGCACTCTTCTCTGAAGACAGATCAAGTTCATCAGGATCAGGTTTCTGGATTTTAATAAAATAATTCTTTTTAAAATATCTGATTTTGCAAGATGGCAACTTTGATCTCAAAATATTGGTATGAGGTAAGGTTGTATAATTTAATACAAGCAAGTTATAGCAAGATATTAAAAAAAAAGTTTTTACTGAAAGCTTATTTTATACAGATTTTGACACTAAAAAAAATTGACAGTCAAAAAGGGTGACAATTTGATAATAAAACATTTTTTTACCGGATTGAAATTATGTTAAAAAATTGTTTTATTATCAAATTTGTGAAACTTATGTCAATAAAAGACAATACTACGGTGACAATTGTCAGCTTATTTTGACATACAGCTGAAAAAAAGTCGTTAGAGTTATTTTTTATCTCCATATTGATTCATCATCTACCTTGGAGAGTAAGAGTTGGAGTCGAGTGCACTCGAGGGAAACGAACAACCATCGCCACCAAAGGCTAGACATAATCAGATTTGCTTTAGAACTCCTTTGTTCAAATTCTGTTAGCGATAGTTAACCAGCGAAACAAAATTTATACCCAGATTGGGTCAGGGGATATCCCGAAACCTACGCAAATACTTTAATTTGAGAACCATATTTGTATTGTTATCTGTATTGACTAAACATTCTAACTTATGTACTAGCTGCCCCCGCGAACTTCGTTTCTCTTTAATGTGATTTTACTTGGCCTACCTTTTTAGTACATACTAACATGGAACATTTTGCTATGCTACCCCGGAGCAGTTGTTCGATTTTCGAGAATGAAAACTTATTAGGTTTTTTTGTGAATTTTTGTCTATATAAACCTATGAGTTCAAGTCATAAGTTTTAAATTAAGAAATAAATCGGGTTAATCGTAGAGGGATGAAAATTAAGGGTTGTATGTAAAAAAAATATCCAAAAAGTAAAAATTCTATATTATATATTAGATTTATTTATCCTCTATATTATTCACAGACACAAGCCTTTTACGAGTGATAAATGCTACACGAAAATAGGACAGAAATCTTTAAACATTCAAAGAAACTTCTAGTAGTTGTACAGAAATAATCCAACGAGAAACAGGGAGCTGTGTAATGACTGTAAATCCCATTGAAATACGAAATAATAGTGGACTACCGTCAAATGGAAAATGGAATTTTAGTATTTGCAGTGAAATTTAATCGTCCCTGCTTAAACCCCCTTTTGTGAAGCATTTGATTTAAAATTAAACAAGGCCTTTGTTAAGACGAAATAATTGTTATATTTCATTTTTTATCAGATTAATTTAGTATAAAAATGTCATGTATATTCCGTTGATTTATATATTACATGGAAAGTAGCCCCGTTGTTGAGCCTGTTAACCACGATGGTGAATGCGGACCCCGGCTTTATTCTTTTATACACAGGACAATCGTATCAAATTTATATATATCTATGAAATTAGATTAACAAAAGAATACGTTCATCCGCCTAATTTTGTTTTTAATTATAAAGTTCACAAAAAGAGTGCGACTTTACATGAATTACAATCTAGTCTATACAATAATTACGGATAATAATTATATTTTATAATAATATTACAATTATAATATAATATTATGTTGATTAAATTTCTACAATACTAATAAGCAGCTTAAACTAAGGTAATGTTCATTAACAGTCTTAGTGTTCTGTAATGAATAGACACTATGCTCCTGTGTCCGAGAAACCGCACTTGCATGGTGTTCTCTACACTAGATATTTTAACTCAAAAGGTTTAGTTCTCTATAGGCGTTTTATTTCTGTTGTATCAAGAAGTTTATTGCCTTAGCATTAACATGCCTATGTAGCCTTATGATGATCCGCCTATACAAATGAAAATGTTATTATTGAAATAAAGACAAATAGGAATAATTTCTCATTTTAAGAACTTATAGTGGAACCGACAATCGTTTTCCTGTACATCTTAAATACATAAATTCAAACTTAAAAAAAAACATCTAATTGTCTATCTGAACTATTCTCGAATCCACTTAAAAACTCATCAAAATCTGTCCACCTATTTATTGCATTACGGCTTTGTCGGGAAAGATTCGATCGCCGTGGCTTTGTATGATAATATCGGCACGATAAGCTAATAGCAACTCAAAATAAACACATAAACCGATAATTAATCTTCAAAACTTCTAATTGTCAAATTTTCAGTCATACTTAACCATAGATATATTAGGTTTAGCTGTCAGTTGCGTTTTATCTATGACCGTCTCCTGGTTCTAAGCTTCCCACCAATTTTCAGCCAAATCGGATTACCCGTTCTTAAGTTATAAAAAGTTAGTTACACTATTTTCATTTGTTTCAGTCACACGACTTACTTTTTGTATTTTAACCGGCTTTAAACAAATCTAATGTTATAATATCCCGTTTATTCTGGTGTCTGTAAATATCGACTTAAATGGTGAAATATTGAAGTTTTTTGGATTTAAACATGTTTGGTTTAGAAGGCTAAGAGGAATGAACACAAAATATAAATATACAGAAATATATCAGTTCCGTAACGGATGTTGGAACGAGATATGCGACAAGCGACGACGTAACATAATTATTAATACTTTGCTGTACTACGCGCGTTTATTTTGTTTTGGGTGGTTTACCGTCTATAGCCTAATTTATTTATTTAGCCAAACTTAAAAACAACAGAACGTAAGTTCAATAATCTAAAACTGATGTGTGGTCTCGATAATGGGAGTGAACGAAGTGCATTAACACAATGCCTATAATCCAATATAAACGAGAAATAATAAGAGATCTTCTGAATGGATATAATGCCCTACCAATATTTGAACAGAGCATTAATTCATAAATGTAATATTTAATGCAAATATTTAAATGTACCCGATTAAAGAACTCTTCATACTGAGCTGTTTCACATTCCCTATTTTAGTACAAATTATGTTCAAAATAATATACTGACACATGTATTTTAAATTTATATTCAGGAAGACGTAAAGCAGTGTTAGCCTAGTGGCTTCAGCGTGCGACTCTCATCCCTATGGTTGTAGGTTCGATCTCAGGCTGTGCACCTATGGAATTTCTGTCTATTCTGTAGCATTCGCTGTAACGGATAACATTGTGAGGAAACCAGCTCGCCTTAGACCCAAAAAAGTCGACGATGAACATGAGGCTGATCACCAACTTGCCTATGAGCTTGAAAAATGATCATGAAACAGATACAGAAATCTGAGGCTCAGACCTTAAAAGGTCCACTGAAATTTATTAAGGAATACGCGAGCCTTGACTAATTCCATATTATCTCCAAACGCAGATTGATCCACACACACTTTTACATTCCCACACATGCACATTCCCACACACACCACCTGGATTTGTTAGTACATAATATTCGACGTATATATGGCGTAATCCGTAACTTCGTAACTGTTTATCATTATAACATTAGTTAATACTTACAAAGTATAACATCTTTTCCCTCAATTATCCTTTTCCCTGATTTTATGCGAACTTTCACTTTCGGCGCATATTTCACCTGTAAACAAAAAAAATAATGTAAATATATAAGATCTCTTATATAAAAAAATACAGTCGTTTCATTACACAAAATTTCGTTTCAAAAAACCTTTAATATAGTATAAAGTGGAGCAGATATTGATACCTATACCTACACCAATTATTGATAAACTGGAAATCGAACTTGGACGCTTGAACTACTTCGTAAACGAACAGGACATATTGTTTTAATTAAGCATAGTATCTCATAAAATTTTATAGCAAACAGCATAATATGTCCTTAATAATATAGATATAATAACATAATGCGTAAGGTAAATCGTAATTGTATACTGTATTGCGAGATGGATTATCTCCGAAGATTTAGTTCAAGCTTGTCGTTTACGTTCTAATACTGTTGATAATATAACTTGTATTTGGAGTACCATGTATAAATTATTACTTAGTAGTATAGTTAGTTTTGTTAAATGAAAGCATCGTCCTGACTTATGCGCATAGTGTTTCTAAAGCTCTTCTGATGTTCGGACAGGAGGCAAATGAGTGTTCACAGCCGCCCATAGTTCACATACGCAACACCGTAGTTTTGCCAGTACGTTGCCGGCGTTTAAGAAAGCCGTACGCTCTTATCTTGAAGGCCCCTGTACTCTTCTGATTACAAGTGCTCACACTCATTCAGAGTGGAGACTCAGCGGTAAGTATGATTTCCGTATGTCAAAGAGAAAATGGAATTTGACATTTGACTTCACGCTCATTCTCGCTTCTGAATATTATATTATGTGTAAAAAAATACGAACATAATATGTTCCCTATTCTCACAAATGTCTTGAGTGTCCATGGGGAAGGACCGTGAGGTAACGATCATTTCTTATTCTCAAAAATCGATATAAAAAAAAATATTCACACAGAAACAAACATATTAGGCCAAAATTATAATGAGATTACATAAATTTTTCTTCGGAGGAGTATGGGAACGAACATTGTGACACGACAATTTTATATATTAGATATAATTAATAAAGTGACTAAAGCACGGGAAATTAATTTAATAGCATTCACGCCGAAATTCTATTTACGTTCATAAATTCAAAGCGCGAAAATTCATTAAACGCATTCAATACTGGGAGGGTACAATAAACAAAATTCATTACCTTAAAAAACTCCCATAAATATTGGAGTGGGCTGAGCTACCATAAACTGGCGAATAATATATGGTTCGTTTTGACTGCATTTTTAAAGCCAACAAATCTATAGCAAATACAGAATCGGTAAAGTTTACGAGTTTTTTGGACGACAATATAAATCTTCGGATTGCCGTTCTTATAAACGGTAACAGTGCGTGAAACTATTACATATTTAATAGCTTAAGCATATTTTACAACGTTCATTCATCTTCAAAATATCACGACAGTGACAAAATTTTTATATTATTTAGTTACTATTGTTACTGAACTGTATATGCCTGACAAATAAGGCTGTTCTATACAAATCTGATCAATATATAACTGGTAAAGTACCTGCGAACGTAAAAACGTAAATGTATTACTAGCGGCAATGTTTTACTTTATCTAGGAAAGTAACAAATTCTAGGAATTAGTGAAAAATTCATACATATGACAATATACAGGGTGGCCAAAAAGTCGTGGATCAAACGCAAATAGGGGATAGATGAGGTCATCAGCTTTTTGACCACCCTGTATAGCAACGCACTTGCGAGCCTTCTGGCAAAGTGAGTGTCCATGAAGGGCGGTATCACTTAACATCAGATGAACCTCCGTTTGCCTTCTATTACATAAAAATAATAACCTTTTCAACAAACTCATCAGCTTTACAATATTGGTAAAAACTCTTTGAATTCGCAACGCGCAAAAAGTTGTGGAAATACCACAATACCTGTACTCTGTGCTAAGTTAGACATAATTTTGAAGCCCGGTAATTTTTTTTTAATTATTAAAGAAATTCTATTATTCATTGAGCCGAACCTGGTATCTCCTTTCCATATATATATCAGAAAATGCGCAACGAAAACTAAATGATATTTATTATATTTATTACAAGGTTTTATGAAAAAAAAGGAGCACTTGTACAACACATCGATATAATTTTGAACCGCATTCATTCAATTAATGAATCCACTTATAAATGGGAACAAAAGTAGTTTAATAAATGAGATACATTACAGAGGACCCAAATAGCCACGTAAGTCAATAAAGCATATAGGACGGTCACACAACATTGACATATAAATGCCGGTCTCGATACCAGAGATCGTCCCTGCCCATAAAAAGTAATTGGGTAGACCGTAAAGGGTTCTTATTTTATGACCAACAAAAAATATATGATAAACAAACGACTTTTATAACGGAAATGACGATTACGCTCGTCTAGATGTGTGAAGAGTGTTTCAGTATTTCGTTCTTTATTCGAAAAAGAGGTTTTATGTCACATAGTATACATCCTACATATGTATGTATTACGCTCGGCAATGAATGCGGCTGATTTCGAATTTCGGCACAAACAAAAGTTGCTTTATTCCAAATTTGAAATTTTTAAAACACGAGGTCAATGAAACGTATATCTGGGATATACACTACCTACAAAATTGTTCGTATTGATTGGCAAAAAACCACTTGAACAATATTAAATTCAAGTTATTAGTATATGGTTTCTAATTTCATCTATATATTACACAAAGCACTTAGTTTGTCAAGAATACTGCTCTGCATTTCACGGTAAACTGAAACTATTTCAAGCACACAAATCGAAAATAACTTCTATCTGTCACTGATACCTTAAATAGCAAATGGACAGACGCTGCCCATTACATGAGTCAACAGTGTATTTCAGTTAACACACCATCAACCTCATACACGTGACACGATCCGTATCCGTTCGGCCAATCACAATCCAACGAATCCCTTCATAGTTTTTCCTTTTAGCTCCAAAATATTTGTTTGATAAGTATTAGAGCTGTGTTGGCCTAGTTGCTTCAGCGTGCGACTCCCATCCTTGAGTTCGTAGGTTCGATCCCCGGCTGTGTACCAATGGACTTTCTTTCTATATGCGCGTTTAGCATTTGCTCGAACGGTTTAAACATTGTGAGGAAACCGGCTTGCCTTAGACCAAAAAAGTCGACGGCGTGCGTCAGGCGCAAGAGGATGGTCACCTACTTGCCTATTAGATTGACAAATGATCATGAAACAGATACAGAAATCTGATGCCCAAACGAAGGAAGGTTTTAATTTCATACATGTTTCATGCAAATTTAGCGTTTCGTACTAAAGGATAGTACAGCCAGACTTGTAAGTTTGATACACGTTTTGCAATAAGTCGCGACCAAAGCTAAAGAGAGCATTTACTTGTTCATTTCAAAACAATTGTACAAAGCGTTTCCAGGCTCGTTTATCCTGCGACCGGAATAGTAATTTCCTTTGCCGTACGAAGGACAATAATTTTTACTGTGCTCTGTAATATACCTATTTCGTACTATTTATTTAGGTAATGTCATGTACGTGAGCATTTTAGGATATTTTACGATTGTGTTTTATTTTAGTATCGAAAATACTAAGAAATGTTTACTAAATATTACTATCTAAATTTTTCACTCGATTAAGTATAGGTTGAAATTGTATATTTTAATTTTAATGATATAAAATGTTTTTTTTTTTGAGAAATAAAAATCTATTGAACTTTGGTTCAAATTTATGCTATTTAAAAGTACTGAAACAACCTGTATGCATACAATTATATTAGAACATAGGCAAACTAGCAACTAACAAGCAACCACAAAAAAAAAACTAAAACAAAGGTAAAAAGACCTAAGGGACCAAACGTTTTCAATTTGTTTTGCTTTTCTTTTTAATAATTTTTTTTATTACTTTGTAGGTTAAGAAAGTTGTAAATTGTAAATATTAATTAATGTTCTTTAATGAATTACTAAAACAAACTAGAAACTAACACCTCATTAAGAGCATGATAAACAAAGTTACGGTAAGTTGGAAGTTGAAAGATTTTCATCAATGTTACCAATTAAGTTGAAAGAGCCAGATAGCCTATTCACTAATGTATCTCAGATTTGAAAGTCTGAAAAAGAAATGTAACGTAAAAAATAATCTAAATCTGATAAAAAAAATTCATTTGGACCTTCATAGGTGAATTATGAGCCGTGATTCAAAAATTCAAAAACATTTAATACCAATCGTAAAAACTAAATTGAGTAATAAAATAGGTTTTATTTGAACATGCTACCAGCATTAAGTGGTCAAAAACTTTATAAATATTGCCCGTTTGACATGTTAAAGCCATTTGAATGATGTAAAAATTTTATTACAATGAGAGTTAATTTCTTCGGTGGATAAATTTAATATATACCATAAAGATCGATTAAATATTAAAACGTACACATATCAAGGCATTTTATTATTGTCTATGATCGAACATGTCAGTTGATACATGGAGAAACAATAATGGCTTCGGATTAGGTAGGAACAGAAAATTAATCACTTCTAACCTAATCTATTGCCCTGAAAAAAGTACGCAGAAATATGTTCATAATTGGGTTACGGTCCTTACTACGAAATGCCTACAGAATATTCTACTCATTCTTAATTTGAATTTTGAAACAGTTCCTCTAAAAACCTTTTTCTTTTCGGCTTTAACCAGCCAGCACGTAAAATCTTAACGCAAGCAAAGAGGCTTTATATCAAACAGCAATATTCTACTACGCGATAGATTTGTATTTATTACTTTTAAAACATTAATGTCGACGACTACCGGACGGTATAACCAATATAACCCGAACAACTTAAAAAACATTAAGAATTAATGTTATCGTAAAAACTTGATGGACTATTTAATACGGCTATTTGTCGATCAAGCGGTGCGGCTTGCCACACTACAGCCTACAAAAAATAGTAAAGAAATTATTGCTTGATTCTTTTTTCTTGACTGTACATTGAACTTCAACATTTGTATATTCATTTTAAACATATTGTTAGGATTGTCCCGGTATTGAGTTTTTAA